CCCCCCCCCCCCCCCCCCCCCCCCCCCCCAACTCCCCTTCCCCTCGGAATCCCTCACATGCGCCACATTGCTGCCGAGGCTCTCTCCCTGCCGCAGTTACAAATTGATCCGCCCCACAGTCGATAAATAATTCAGAGGCAGGGCTTAACTGGGAATGGGAGGTAGCAGCAGTAAAGTCCGGAGTCGGGGGTGATTCACCCTGAAAAGGCTGAGTTTTTTGGGGGGTAGGATGGGGAAGATCAGGAAGGTAGAGTTATTCTCCCCCCCACCCAGTGTAGCGGTGGCTGCAGAACAACCCCCTCAACCCCGGAGGTGCTGACATTGCAGCGCCCAGGCACGGCTCTCTGTATAACTGCATATGTTGCTCGTTGTGTATTCACCAGCACAGTACCGCTCGTATGAAACCCACAAATTAGCACCATACCGTGAACTATTCCTCCCCACCCCCTTGTCTTTCCCCACATTATTATTATGTGTAAACATGTGAACTGTGATGATTGGAGAAATAAACACACAGGAGGCTGGGCTCTGACCAAGGATTTTGTTTTAATGAAGCTTCACGTTGGAACACTTTGCGCCATCGTTAGATGGAGACTCTGTTCTACAAGAGAGATTCATTCGGACACGTTACAGGACCAGCACCGAGCAGCGGTTCAAACTTAAACTATAAATTATATACAGATCAGCACCGCAGAGCCCACCGCCCCGCCCTCAGTAGAAGCAGACAGTGTGAAGGAAGGTCCGGCCGCTCTTCTCCTCCAGCTCCTGGATAAGCTCATCGATCTCATTCTCCATGTCTTCAGTCCGCTGGATCTAAACACAACCAACATGGCAAAAAGGTCAACGTTGAACAGCGGGATCGTGAGAGGACTGGGCTGGAGGTTGAGGAAGACAGAAGAGGAGAACGAGAAGGAAGTGAAAAGAGAGGGGGAATAGGAGCTCAGGAGATGGTCACGCAAGGCCAGCTGACCTCTGCTCCAAATGATTCAACTAGAGGTTGGTTAAAAATGGAGTCTCACGAGCCGAGGACAGCTAAAAACAATCTGGAATACTCCTTCGGTATTTTTTTGGTGGGGGGGGGGGGGGAAGAGGGGGAGAGAGAGAGAATCTATCATAAACCACAATTTAAACGTATCCACCAATATTTCATCCACTTTCCCAGCTCCAGTTGCGGGCTCAGCCTTCCCCTCACACCTGACCTCCCATGAACCACAATCACTAGGAGGAGCCAATAGGGGCTGGTCCAGAGCTCCCCAGGCTGGGCTATGGACTCCTGGCCCAAATCCAGCACGGCACCGTGTTGTTTCAGGTAGTTTTGCTCCTGTTGGGATTCAGCCCACAGCCTAGCCCACCCCTCCCATTTTATTTCACGACCTGCGCTCCAGTCGAGAATAGTCAAGCCTGTTTTTCAAAACCACCTTTGTCCTCTTAATTCCCTCCTACCCATAAAACGTAAAACTGTAGTAACATTTTAAAAAAATGTTACTACGTGTAAAGGGACAATAACTCCAGCTAACGCAGCAGTTTCAGAAAGTGACTAGAGTTTACATGGATAGATTGCACTTTACTGTGTAAGTTTCAATGGGGGGGGTGGTGGATGGATAATCTTCTAATTTTTAAAAATGACAGTGACAAAAGACTATGTTAGACTGTAGAATGTTCGTCCAAGACTAAATTCACATTGGGATGGGCAGGGGGTGGTTAAGATTCTCAGGTTGCAGGGACTTGGGGAAAGGGGCAAGAACAGGGGGATGATTACCAGCAGTCACTCCCTTCCTACTGCGCAGTCCTGCCTTAAGTACCATGTTCTAACTGGAGGCCATTTAAATTGTGGAAGCATTGAGCTGCTATAACAGAAACACTGGGTCCCATCAAGGATGGGCAACCTTAATACCCTATTTGCTGGGTTTCTCACAGCATTACCATGGGAACGGCCTAAAAGCAGGGCTGAGCATTTCCCTGCAGTGGCAAAGTAGATGCACACTTCTGCTATGGGCTCAGTGGCAATTATGCAGAGCAGGTAGCACTGTCAGGGTCAGAAATACTTTGGGGATGGGAAGTTCCTCCACTTGCAAACAGGACTCCATTGGCGGTGTCAGCTGCAGCTCAGTTGGGCACACATTTGCCTGAGTCACAAGGTTCTAGGTTCAAGTCCAACACTGAGCAGAGCACAAAAAAAACTTTTTTTTTGGGGGGGGGGGGGGGGGGGGGGGGGGGGGGGGGGGGGGGGGGAGGTGTTGGGGCAGGAGGAAAGAGGTGTTTACTTAGTTTATTTTGATTCCAGAAAGGAGAGGAGAGAGAAAACTAAAGACTAGTTAATCAAACATCAAAAACAGGGAAAATGCTAGAATCTATTAGGGATGTGTTAATGGAGCACTTAGGATATCAAATAATTATGCAGCAGCTACAGATTTATGAAAGGCGGGTTGTGTTTGACAAATCTCATTTTTGTAGCTGTAACTAGCTCATTAGGCAAGGGGGAAAAAGTGGATATGAAGCACTGGATTTTCAAAAAACATTTAATAAGTCATCCATCATGCATGAGGTTATTATACAAAAATTTATGGCTCATGGGACTACAGTTGAGGAAGAACTACAGATCCAAACAGTAGGAATAAACAGGCCATTTCCAGGTAGGCAGGTTCTATCAAGTGGGGTACGGTGAATGTCACCACTTAGGTCTCAAGTATTCACAGTCTAAAACACTGCCTTAGATGAGGGGACGGAGTGTATTGTATCCAAGTTTCGATTATTATGCTGCAAGCAGCTGCAAAGAAATATGGAAAGACCAACTGAATGGGTGCGTGGGTGTGTGTGTGTGTGTGTGTGTGTGGAAGCATATAAAGGTATCTACTGAGTAAGGAAAAAATAGGAAAAGCAGTTTATATCTTTGAATGCAACATCTGGGAATTTAGTACTTAGGAGATACCTGTGTATTCTTGTACATGAATAAAAAAGATTAAAGAATAAAAGAGTGAAGAAGTTTTACTGCAATTGTATGCCATCCTGATGAGACCACACCTGTGAGTACTGTGTATTGCTTTAGTCTCTTTACGTAAGGATATACTATCTATGGAAGGAGTGCAGTAATGATTCACTGGAATGATTCCTAGGATGAGGAAGCGGCCATTAAGGAGAGATCAAGCAGACAGACGACATTCTGAAATTTTGAAGAATGAGAGATTACCCCAATGAAAAATAAAAATATTAAAAGGCATTGATAGGGTAGATACTGGAAGGATATTCCCTTGACCACAGACTATAAGGAAAGGTTAGAGTCACAGAACAAAGGGGTTGCTGTTTATCAGGCTAGGAAAGAAAGTTTCACTCAGAATTGTGGAACTTTGGAATTCTCTACCAAAGAGAGCAGTGTATGCTCAGTTGTTGAGTCCATTCAAGACAGAGATGGATACATTTCTGGATACAAAGATAAGGGATTATAGAGTGTGGGAGGGGAGATCAACTATGGTCTTTCTGAACAGTTGAGCAAGTTCAAAAAAATGGACAGATCATCTATTTGCGCCCCTGCATTTTATATTCTTATAGCAAAATCATTAAGTGCAAGTCTGCTAAGTATATTTTGACTCAATTTTTCCCAATAGGAACTGAATTCCAAGGCATCCTGGAATCCAGCAGTGTTCTTCCCTTCAGGTTGCCTCTTCTAGTTAGGTTTTGAATTGACAGTGTAGGAGTTTGTCTAAAACCATGCCAAACAGTCAGCTTGAAAGACCACTTCTTTTCACTATTACCAAGTGAACGGAGAATGAGTTTAACTGGGAGCAGAGGTTAATTTTTAGCAATGAAACAGAATTTCATCACTTTGTCCTCCCAAATGTTTTTACCCAAATACAGTTCTCTTCAGTCACTGCACAGCGTGGATGTCATTTGATAATTGGATACTTTCTATGAATTTTGCTACCTAGTAAGTGTCCTAAGTGTTCTGCAAAATACTCAGCATGAGACTCTACGGCACTTTTCACACTTTAAGATTTTGAGGCTTTGCGATTAACATTCCCACACTATGAATGTAAACCAAACCGTTTATGTTAAATATCACTACAGAAGCCATTCTCTCAGCTTCTTGTTATACAGGAAATATAGAACAGTAATAGTTGCACAGAATAGGTAATGTCAGTGAAAGGAGAGACAACATTCTCAGAGGAATTGTTATTTCAGAAAACAACTACATGAGTAATTTCAATATTTTGGCACCAAGAGTATGTTATCAGCTTTATCCAAAATAGACTTCAGGAATCAAACTTGAATACTTTTAATCCAATTTTGCCGGGGATACAGCTGCAGTAAAAATGGCATTGGTGTAACAAGCTTGGAGCATCATAGCGAAGATCCTAGCATTAGGCATTCTGAAAGACTTCAATTATTGTTCTAACAAAAATGGCTCAATTTCTATTGATTGTTCCTCACTCAAACCACAGTCACCTTCTGTAGAACACATGCCAAATTGGTGCACTTACCAACATGTTGCAAAACATGTTCAATGTTGACTAGTCCATCACGTGACAATAACTATGTAAAATTCTTACAAAAATGTCAAAATTGCAACACAAATAAAATGTGTTAAGTGTTCAGTAAAACAGATACATTCACCTGCAAATATTTGGCTGGATTACAGGAGATCGCATTTGGATTCATTGAGATGTTATTCTGTGCTGTGTGATATTCTTTCCCAGTCCTCCCAATACACAAAAGGTGCAACACTTACACATTGGCACAGTTCACAAATGAGGAAAGCTCCGATTGTGGCTTCTTCATGATTATCCTGAATGTCCACGTTTATGACATGCACTGACTGGAATGTCTCCTGTTCTCTCGAATTCAGATCTGGGAAATCATAATACGGGGGCATCAGCAAACCACGTTTCATAAGCAGCAAGGTCAAAGGCTTGGCGAACACAAGGGATGGCCATTTTACCTTCAAGCACCTGATCGTATACCCGTTCCTCACAGGTCACTATTAGATCAAACTGGTCTTTGCAGGTCTGGAAACGTTCTGGTCGAGATTTTATCCGCTTGTTTCTGTCCAACATGTGAAGAATTCCATTCTGTGTATATCTGCACTGAGGTCAAGGAATGTAATGTACACATGGAGTAACCTATAAACTTGCATAGGATTCGAATTTTCCAAAGCTTGTATGCTAAACCCAGTTAAGACAACCTCTCTAATTTAGAAATCTGGGCTGAATACTGGGGGGATAAAAACTCAAGTTCTTCGGTAGGACACAAGTGTTGCTGGAAAAGACAGCGTTTATTGTCCATCATTATTTGCTCTTGTACAGAGCGACTTGCTGGGTGTTTTCAGGGGCACTTACGAGTTAACCACCGATCATTACCGAGAATTTAGTATCATATATAATAAACCAGACTGGGCAACAGTGACAGATTTCCTTAAGTAAAAGGAAAGGACATTAGTGAACAAAAGCTCTCCCTGACGTCCTTTAGGTAACAAAATCTGTCATCTTTATCTGCTCTTGCCTACATACGACTCCATATCCTCATAGTATGCTCATCAAAATGGCCTAGCAAGCCACTCAGTTTTGTTTAAATGGTACAAATTCTGAAAGGAATAGCACCGTTGGTGCCCTGTTCACTCCAAGAACTGCAGCAGTTCAAAAAGGGGCAGCTCATCATTTGTTCTCTAGGGAAATTAGAGATGGGTAATAAACACTGGCCATCTAGCAGAACTCATATCTAATGAAAACAAAACACATTGTTACAACAATGATTATTTTGCATTTACATTTACTGCTTTCAATTCCAGATTTATTTATTAATTCTATTATCGTGGGATTTGAACCCAAGCCCATTGAACATTAGCCTGGGTCCCTGGATTACCAGTCCATTGACATTACTGTCCATCAATTTCTCCCCTCTTGTTTGACGGCCTAATTCAGTCTCAAATTTACTTGTGCCTTGTATGGTAATATGCAGAAGGCTCTCAAACGAGTAATAAACAGCTTTCACAAGACTTATGAAACCTACAGTGATTGGCCCTGATGACTTATTGGTACCAGCAGTAATGGAACAGCTCAGCCCAAAACAAGGGACAATAATGAATTATATTTTATCAGTGCAATCAAACTGTTTAAAGTTTAAGCAGCAAAGAAGGTCTTGATACTTTATTTACAACTGCTGAGAGAAAAGCTGTTTTCCAGCCCAAAGATTTTATATTAAAAGAAAATACAATCCTACTTAAACTAAAAGCAACATTTTGTACAAGCAAGAAACTTCTTGCCCAGTTTTCAAGCTACAATATGGGCAGCACGATGGCTCAGTGGTTAGCACTGCTGCCTCACAGCACAAAGGCCCAGGTTTGATTCCCCCTTGGGCAACTGTCTGTGTGGAGTTTGCATATTCTCCCCCAGTCTGTGTGGGTTTCCTCTGGGTGCTCCAGTCTCCTCTCAGTCCAAAGACGTGCAGGTTAGATGGATTGGCCATGCTAAATTGCCTATAGTGTTCAGGAATGTTTAGATTAGGTGGGTTTGGGGAGTAGGTCTGGGTGGGATGCTCTGAGGGTCAGTGTGGACTTGTTGGGCGAAGGGCCTGTTTCCACACTGTAAGGGTTATATGGAATATGCAACTCGGTCATCACAAACAGTGATGACGCTGCCTGGAAAGTTGTAATCAGACGGGTTATAGCATGGACAGTTTGATGGTTTGGATGACTGCAATGAACAGTTTTATAAAGCCCAGCAAGTTTAACAAATCACTAGTATCAATACAACAGCCACATGTAAACTACTCAAAATAACTAGCTTCCTTTGGTACTGAAGTAAATATTAGCCATATGGTCATATTATGTAGACTAAATCTCACCCCACAGCAGCAAATAGCTCAGAACACTTGGTGCTTTCAGTTTGTCGAGAACCTCGAGATTTCAACTCTCTTCTCAAGTCCTTCAATGGTGATTGTTTGGCAGAGTGAATATCCTATTAACCATCACATCTGCCATCTAATTTCTATTAGAAAAAATCCTGCTACTTTAATCATTTGCAAAAACAGAGCACCAATAACAATCACTCACGTGAGAACATGCATTTGTATTGGAAACGTCTTGACTGTTGTTAAAAAGTTCTCCCTAAAATGAGGGGGCAAGGTTTAAGATTTGACACACCAGTGATCAGCTCACGAACTCAGTAACCCATGAAGATAGCTAACTTTTGAGGTTGGGGACTAAAAAATCCAAACACTACTTTCATGTCAAAAAAAAAAATTGCTTGTTCCATCTCACTAGAATTAGCTGTTTAATCACTGGAGAATTCCAAAGCTGACATTTTTTCCTCAGTAGCATTATAAGAAGAAAATAATGAAAATAAATTTAAACTTCAAATGTTTTAGAATGGGAGCTGTTGTCTAGCTTTTAAGGGTAGAAGTAGTATGCTCGATGATCAAGTTATTCACTATATGGCCAGTTACAAATCACCAGCAATTTGGAATACAGAAATGCCTTAAAAAGCAATATTACAGAATAGGATTATGGAAAGGTGGCTGTCAAGATAAAATTAGGCAGTAAAAGAAGTTGCTGGAAAAGCTCAGCAGGTCTGGTGGCACCTGTGAAGAAAAATCAGAGTTCACGTTTCAGGTCCGGTGACCCAGGTTCGGAGGAAAGGTAACCGGACCCGAAACGTGAACTCTGATTTTTCTTCACACGTGCTGCCAGATCTGCTGAGCTTTTCCAGCAACTTCTGTTTTTGTTCCGACTTTACAACATCCGCAGTTCTTTCGATTTTTATAAAATTAGGCAGACTACTTCACAAATATGAAAGGAACTGCATGAGCAAACTCTGCAAGGGTTACACTGAATTCACAAAAATGAATCTCACTTACACACATTTGGTGAACTCAGGGAAGTCTGACCGTCTGACCCAAAGGTTCAGCCAGTTGGGACACAAGAAAACCTAGCGCATGAATTATGCTAAAGATTGGCTTGTGTTGCTTTGGAAGTACCCCACAGGTGAGAAGATACATGCTCCAATATATCTCTCAGAAAAGCAATGCCAGAGCAGTTTAGTTTTGGACACAAATTCAAGTTTTGTGTCTCAAGATCAAAAACTACTGAGGTGCACAAACACAACTGTATCTCTATCAAGCAATGTGACATTAAAATGCTGCAGATTCTATTTCTAACTTGTCACTGTGCTTTGGCTGCCACAGTACGTGTACACATCAGCCTCCAGTAGTGGTAAGCAAATTGCTTAGCCTGGTTTATACTTGAATGCAGAAGTTGGTCATTCCATAGAACGCTACCGTTCAGTTTTCTCCCCACACAATGATTGTTTGTGGTTATCTTGTTCAGTAATTAACTTGTAAATTTCTTACAACTTAGCACTGGAACTAAACTGTATTAACATTTAATGGCAATTCTGGTACATTTTAATTTGCTACAACTTTCTCTAATAATGAGAAACCTGGATGGGAGAGAGAAGATAGCAATTGCTCCAGATGGAGATAAAGAACTGGTATTTAAAATAACATTCTTATATACATCACTTTTCATAGCTTCAGGACAACCCCAAACAAATTACTTCTGAGGACTGGTCATCTTCATGTCAGGAAATACAGCTGTAAATCACTTATTTTGGAGTGAGCTGAATTGGTATCTGTATTCAGAACCAAAGCACAGTGACAAGTTAGAAACAAAATGTGGAGTAAGTGCACATCAATATCCATCTCCTACTCAACTTCAGCCGGCTTGTTGAGGGGTGGTACTGATGCTCAGCCAGCCAATCTCAAAAGGAGTTACTGCAAAATGTTCCAGAGTATACTGCCAGGCATACGGCCATGTCTGATCAAATAGTTGGAAGTCATTGTCCATCTGTCACCAGCTAATGTCAGCACATGGTGCTGCTTAGAGGGAAGAAAGGTTTATTAAAAGGCGTGTGTAACTGAACCACACCAGTGGAGGGCAGAGATTTGATTTATGGTCTGTTAATTAATTTTAAATAATGTGCAAAAGTACCATAATTAGCCTTTTGGTGATTGTAACAATGGCAGTGGTGGTGTTTTGTTTCGAGGGGGAGAGGTCAGAGAGAGAGAGAAAATACACAAAGTTCTCAAACTAATTTCTAATAAAACTAGAAAACGTGGGCATGTGCAGACTGGGCTGTGCCTGGCCAGGCCCATCTGTTTCACCAAGTGGAAAGCTTATTGAGAGTTATTATTCAGGGCCACATGAAGAATGGCCACTGGACAAGACAGATAGCCAAGCCGTAATGGAAGAAACCTGGCCTAGCAATGGGGAGCAGAGAGAAAACAGCACAAAAAGGCAACTTAAAAGTCAAAGACCACAATGTGGTTTATACTGAGGTTGGTCAGTGATAATAGGCAAGTAAAACATTGGTGATTCAAGGTAATTCAAACAACAGACATCATTTAGAGATGCATGAAAAATACCTCGAGAATGGAGGAAGGAACTAATAAATGAAGATCAAAAAGATACATTATGGAGTAGGAAGTTTAGTAATTTGAAGAAATGTTAGATGGAAACCCATGCATTACTGTTGTTCGGATGCTGTCAAATAGTAGTTGCGTTTAGTGTGTGGTACATGTATAGCAGTTGACCTTAACCTCCAGATCATACCTCATACCTTCTCCTGGATCCTAGGACAATTAACTAGTTACCAATGGATGAACACAAGGCTAAATCTTGCAACTGTCAGAAATTTAGCGACGTCTGGAAATGTTAAAAAAGCAAAGCAAAAGCAGTTGCCAATTCAGAACATGTTCATAATAACACCGTGATAAACATTCTGCTGAGCACAAAGATTTATTAAAAATATATAAATCACTGCAGACTTTTTACAATGTTCTGAAGGTTAGCTGAATAAACCGGCCTACATTAATTCAGCAATTATATTCACAATTGTTCTGTCTACAACTGTTTACATTTAGTTGAACACATACCTGTGCCCAGCACAGAAAGTCAGGGTCCATTCTCTATCGCTGAAATATTTGATGATTAGCACTTGCTTTCCATCTTGAACACATCAAAGAGAGTAGGCCACTTGCTCTCTGGCATCCTCAAGTGCAAGTTATGCTGAAGGTGTAACTTGAGG